CCAGCGGTGCACGACCCCACGCTCGTCATCTAACGTGTGCGTCACCTCAAAATAGCACAACTATGTGAAATCCGGGGTTTCATACCATCAGGACAACATTTACAATCATTAGTTACCTCAATCCGGTCCAAACTCTAGCCCGTGATGCCTTTGCCTCTAGAATCGGCCTCAACTCACCCCGAATCTATCCAAAATCAGAATCATAACATCAAAATGGGCTAAAGGAACAAAACCCATACGAAAATATTCAAATTACGTTGAAAATCCTGAAATTGGCCAAACCCGACCCCCGGGCCCACGTCTCGGATTTCGATAAAAATCACAAAACTAGAATCCTTACACTCTCACGAGTTCATACATACCAAGAGCATCAAAATCCGACCACAAACGACCCCTCAAATCCCTAAATCGAAGTATTCAATTTCAAGCCCTTAACCTCCAATTTTAATCACTAATTTCCATAAATTCCATGTTTAAAAAATTGAAAATCAATATAGAATCGAGTTTTTGGTTCAATAATCTTACGTCCAAGTGTTTCCCTTCGAATCCCTCTTTAATCTCTCCAGAAAAGCTCTAAAACCGTTCAACAATGGTGAAATATGGCCAAAAATCGCAAAGTCCCCTATTAAAACATTCTGCCCAGGGATTTAAATTTCCTTCTTCGCGATCGCGGAAACAGCCTCGCGATCGTGGAGCACAAAAACTGACCGCCCTCATTTATCCCTATGCAATCGCGCAAACCTCCACGCGATCGCGAAGCACTGCCTTTGCTAACCCACGCGATCGCGGCCTCTCCCACGCAATCGCATAGAACAACCTTACCACTTTACACCAGCTCCTTCTCTTCTACGCGAATGCGATCCTGACCACACGTTCGTGAACTACATCTTCACCACCAATCGCGATCGCGTCCTAACCTCTGCGATCGCGTAGAACAAATCTCACCTCTGCCCAACTAGGCCTACGCGATCGTGGACTCTTCTGCGCGATCGCGAACAACAAAATGTCTACAACAGAATACCAGAAAACCTGCTATCTCCTCAAGTCCAAATATGCCCCGTAGAGCATCCGAAACACACCCGAGGCCCTCGGGACCTCAACCAAACATGCCAACACATCCCATAACATCATTTAAACTTGTTCCAACCTTCGGAACACTCAAAACAACGCCAAAACATCAAATCAACCTCAGATTTAAGCCTAAGAACTTAGAAACTTTCAAATTCCGCAAACGATCAAAAAGTCTATCAAACCTCACCCCGAATGACCTGAAATTTTGCACAAACGTCACAAATGACACAACGGACCTATCCAATTTTCGGAATTCCATTCCGGCCCCTATATCAAAATTTCCGCTATCCACCGGAAAATGCCAAAATTTTGATTTCGCCAATTCAAGCCTATATCTACTACGGACCTCCAAAATACATTTCGATCACGCTCCTAACGAAGCTATCCGAACAATCAGAATTCACATCCGAGATCTTTTTCTCATAAGTCAATATCCGGTTGACTTTTCCAACTAAGCTCACTCAAAAGAGACTAAGTGTCTCATTTCTTTACAAAACCACTCCGAACCCAAACTAACCAACACAATACCACATAATATGGCTGAACAAGACATAAAGAAGAAGAAATAGGGGAAACGGGGCGGTAACTCATGAAACCACCGGCCGGGTCGTTACATTACTTAATATATCGGGTCGATTGTATCATACTACACTCTGCACTTAATTGTGCAGATCCAGTAGTTAGACCCAGCTCAGCATTCAGGATTCGTAGTTGTTGCCGTGGAGACTCGTGGTAGAGTTTCACCCTGGTCGCAGTCCCTAGTGTCTCCTTCTATCATTTTACTATTGTATTTGATTTAGGTAGTGTAATGTAGTATCAGACTTATATTCGTATGTTAAAGCTCATGACTCAATGTTATCAGTTTCTCGGGAATTATTGTATTTGTTATTATTCATCTATTCTATTCGACTCTTAGATTTGTTAATTTCTATATTATTATTGTTCTTATGCTATTTTTTTATGTTTGGCTTGCCTAGCAAGTGGTTTAGGCGCCATCACGACCAGAGAGGATTTTGGATCGTGACATTTTGTCCAACTCCATCATTAGATTGTGAACTCAAATTTTATACTTATAAAAATCGATGATTTAATCTTCCGTGTATAAGCTAAACTCTATACGCTAAATCCTATACTATATAAGTAATGGACACATAGAATACATGATCTATTAAAATTGAGTGAATAATTATTTTATAATAAATATTATACCCAACCACATGGTTAATAGTATATATCCCTGTAATGAACCAGCCAGTTGATTAGTGTATTTGCGCCCCCTTTCCCCATTTGATACTTCCCTTGTGCTTAGTTGTTATTTTATGACTTGCAGGGATGGTTGGTTTGATTCCGGGAAGGTTTTGTAGTAAATTGAAATACATAATTCCATTGTTGGAAGCTTGAATTATAATAGTGGACTAAGGTTTGACTTTTGTGCTAACAATATCGGATTCATGTTTTGATGGTTCCAATATGTTCTTAGTGATTTTGGACTTAGGCGTATGTCCCGATTTGGATTTGGAGGTACCTAGGGTGATTTGGCTCCTTTTGCCAAAAGTTGACAATTTGAGATTTAGAAATTTCATAAGTTTGATCATGGGTTGACTTTAAGCATATCGAGTTCGAATTATTGTTATGAGACTTGGAATAGATCTGTTTTGTCATTTGAAACTTGTGTGAAAAGGTTTGGTCTCGTTCCAAATTTGTTTGGTAGGAACCGTACTCTTGGTTGTGAATATTGAAGTTCTTGAAATTTAACAATTGCATGATACATTTTAGGGTTCAATTTGCTGTTATGGATGTTATTTTGATGTTTTAAACTTGCGAGCGAGCTCATATGAGGTTTGTGTACTTGTGTTGATGTTTAGTGTAGGCCTCGAGGGATGTGGGTAAGTTTCATATTAATTTCAGAATGATATGGTGAAGCTTCAAATTTTTGTGGTGCTACAGACCTCACAATTGCGAAGGTCTATTCCACAGAAGCGGGGCCACATATGCGATTAAGTGAGCCGCAGGTGCGGGATCGCTAGTCAGAACATAAAAATGAGGGTTTGGTCATATTTCTCATAATTGGAATTTTGGAGTTTGGTCATATTTCTCATAATTGGAATTTTGAAGCTCGGCTAGAGGCGATTTTTGGGAGACGATTGAGGAGGTAAGCGAAGATTATTCAATTCAATGATAGATATTGATTACCCATTCATTATTTCACCTAGATTATGTGAATACAAGGTGAGATTTGGGAATTTTATATTATGTTGTTGGAGAGTGAGATTTGATGATTTGAGGGTCGACTTGTAGTTTGAATTGGATGAAATTGGTATGGCTGGACTCAGAATTGAATGGGTGTTCAGAATTTGTGAGTTTGACTGGGTTCTGAGGTGTGGACCCGGGGTTGACTTTTTAGCTTGACTTTCCGTTTTTTTATTAAAGACCTAAGCTTTATTACGTGGAACTGTTTTCTACGGCTCTTATTGATGATATTAAGCTGCTTTGGCTAGATTCGTGTCGCTCGAAGGCCGATTCACGTGGCAAGGACTTTTGGGAATATTGATTTACGCGCATTGAGGTAAGTTAACATATCTAAACTTGGATTTGAGGGTATTTAACTTTGGAAACTATGCTTTATATGAAATACGCTTAATAACTTTGTGACTACATGAACTTGATTGCTACAACTGATTTAGCCGTTGTCATGCTTGATATGTCGAATATCTGTCCGCATTTTATTATTGGCATGTCCTTGTGTACCTTGCTGATAAATTATGGGCTTATATCTTTGATGAAAAATTGGCATATTGCTTTGTGTTGATGATGGAACATGTAGACATATGGGGCAATTAATTGGGCGTTGGCACGATATCTTTGCCATTCGATTGTGATTATTAATATGCACATGTGGCGAAATAAGAGTGGCACTACGGTTTGTACATGTGGCGAAATAAGGGTGGTAATCTTGATTATGCGCATATGGCGCAATAAGGATGACATTTCTAGATTATTTCACATGCGGCCAAAAAGGATGACGTTCTTGACGATTTTTACGTGATGGTTCGGGGGTGATACTCTTGATCATGTACAGTCTTTCTTTAAACTTCGTTGCAAGCTGTATTTGACATGCTATGATATGCCTTGTTCCAGCTTGTTGATTTGTTGTCAAAAGTGAATTTACCTACATTGAGTTGTTATCAGATATTTTAACGAGTTTGTGGGGTTGTATTTCGTCATATATTCTTGTTGCCAATTATTGATATATTGCGCAGGCTCTTTGATTAGTGAGTATCACATGACTTGAACATCGTGACAACTTCACCGAGGTTAGTGATCTTGATACTTACTAGGTACATACCGATTGTGGTGTACTTACACTACACTACGCATATGTCCATTTTTGTGCAGATCTGGATGTTCGGGGCAGCGGACCTAGAGAGTGAGTGCATACACCGATTGCGAGGATTCATGGTAGTGCTGCATGACAGTCGCAACCCCTTGGAGTCCCGTCCGTTATGTTGATACTGTTATTTTCATATTCAAATAATATTTTGTTTTGAGACTTCTTTATGTATCCAGTTTAGAGCTCACGACTCTATACCATCTAGTTCTGGGGAGTTGTATTGTGTATTATCATTTTTGGTCTTATGCTATCACTTTTTCTGCTATTATTTAAAATTCAGTCTTATTATATCATGTTTTGATGATTAAATGTTGTTAACGTGATTGAGTTATCTAGTCTTGGAGTTTAGGTGTCGTCATGATCCCAGTGAAAATAACGATAGAGGATATGACTATTTTATTTCCTGATGCAAGTACCTGAACAAGTAGGAAAAGTAAAAACTAACAGAACTCATGTGCTTTTCTTGGTAATACTTTGAATATTGTAAGCAGTATACATCACTAACGCATCACCACCAAATTTTACCAACAAAAAGAAAATACTAAAGATAATTTTGATTTTTAAACCTGGTTTACAAATAACTGCCACTTCTGAACTTTCATTCTGTATTAATATAATGTCTACCGGCTTTCCTGTTTATAATTAGCAAATATCAACTCATTATCCAAATGCACGATTTTGCACAGATGTAGACTTAATCTCTATTTTCTAACCTAAGCAACTAGTTTGTTTTACAGAACCAGAAGCTCTTCCTCCAGCATTAACACAAGAAGTTTCAGCTGGTTGATCTCTATAACTAAGATTTATATCTTCTAGTGCTATGCCACTGCATGGATATTTTTTGCTACAATCAAATTTCACTGCAACTTCCGTAGCAGATGTACCGCGTATGTCTTGATACTTTACGTTGCTGATTTTCACACCCGAGCCCTAAAAATATTTAAAAGAAAAAAACAGCGTTAGTTTTCCAGGAGAAGTCCTCAAAAGAAAAAAGAAAATAAAAAGGCTGAATTTATTTGCTTGTATCACTTACCTGATGAGGGCAATTTTCATTGTTAGGGCAATAATTTTGGTCTATGATGATAGGGTTTTGAACGTTAGCCATAACTATATGCTGGAAGAGAACATTTCTGACAAAGCCATTGCTTGATCTTGCCCATGTTTTTACTCTCAATCCATTTTGTGTTCCACTGAACGCGACTGTTTTAACTGTAACATTTTGAACTCCAGGCTCTTCTAGTTCCCAGCCTAAACTCCCAATGCTGCAGTAGTAGTTAAAGTTAAAAAACAAACTAATTAGGTGAAGAAAATAAACCAGTATAAAACATATTTATAGAACATGAATAGCCTAATTTAGTTGCAATTATGTTGACTTTGTTGCTATTCATAGCCTAACTTTAGTTCCAATTAAGTTGACTTTGTTGCTACTCAGAGCCTAATTTAGTTGCAATTATGTTGACTTCTGAAATTTACAATCCCAAAAATATCATAAAATTTCCGTGTTTATAAAATTATACTCCCTCCGTTTCATATTAAATGAGATACTTTCCTTTTTAGTCTGTTCCAAAATAAATGACACATTTCTAAATTTGGAAATAATTCAACTTTAAACTCTTTCATTTTACCCATTAACCCTTAATGAGAAACTTTTATAGCCACACGAATGTCATGACCCCACAAACTTTTTACCCCTTAAGCTTTTAAGACCACAAGTTTCAAAAGTGTTCTTCTTTTTTCTTAAACTCCGTGCTGAGTCAAACTACCTCATATAATATGAAACGGAGGGAGTACTATGTAAAATGAAAAGTTTAAATTTATATTGTTTCTTAATATAAAAATGTATCATTCTTTTTGGACAGACTAAAAGGGAAAACGTATCACATAAAAATAAGATATATAGAGGAAGTACTTTTTTTTAGGAAGTAACGAATCAATTAGATCTCTTAGTAGAATGAACTCCTGAAACATACTCAGGAACGTAACACTATAGAAAGTAGTGTTACGTAACACCATACTGTCCAATAAATAAAGAAAATGCAGAAACTAAATCATTAAGCAAATAAAGTGAAATTATAAAATGTTTGATTCTTATATGAGACGTAGAAAGTAGTAATAATTGGAAGTAAACTCTTATATTTTTCCAAACCTTATTCCATGGCCAGGGCCACAGGCAATGTTTTCAATCCATAAGTTGGAGGTTCCAGGGCCAATTGAGATACAATCATCTCCAGTTCCAATATGAGAGTTCATAATGGTGACTTTAGACGAATATTGGACGTGAATACCATCGGTGTTGGGACTGTTTCCTGGAGCTGATACCTTTACTCCTTGTAGCTTCACATTATGACAATTATCTACCAATATGTGGAACATTTGACTGTTTTTCGATGTTAATCCGCTTATATCTATGTTGCTGGAGTTGGAAAAAGTAAGTCCCTGCAGAACGAAAAAAACGATGTGAATGCATAGAGTGAAATATTTAATCTTTTTATTGTTTGTGGTTAATTTGCATTATACTACAGTTTCCAGAATTATGAATATTATATCATCAGATGATTTATTTCAAGTTAGTTGAGACTGCTCAACCTCACTTACCCACGTAAATACTAAATAAACTAACTTTTAGTGTTTCATTATTTTTTAATTATATATTTTCATAAATAATACTTTTGATAGATTTAAATTAAAAAAGGAATAACGAATACTACTAATTTATTGTTCCTTGAGGTAACTATTCTTGCAAGAGGTTTTGAAAACGAATGTCAATGAATTGAGTGAAATTTAATCTATTGCGTGTGTGTGTGGGTTGTTGTGGTGAACAAGAAGAAGATCATTTACTTACAAGTTAGTTGAAACTGCCCAACCCCACTAACGTACCCAAGTAAACACTAAATAACTAAACTTGTAGTATTGTTTCATCTTTTCTATTTTTTAAAATTTACTTTTAATAGTTTAAACAAGAATGATGAAACTTAATCATACCATTGTTCCTTGAGGACAATTCTTGCTAGAGTTTTTGCAAGCCCAAAGACTAGCACCTTGTCCATCTAAGGTTCCACGATATATGGAAACTCCAGTAACTCTTTCAAATTTGATCCAATTTTCTTCATTCCGAATAACATTATAATCCGATGGAGCTAATATAGTGCCATCAATGTGTAAGGTAATAGCATTACTCTTGCATGTTTCACCTAGAAAATATGCACTTTTAAGCAAGTAACTTCCCTTTGGCACGTAAATGGTGGCAGGGCTAGAAGATGCACATGCTGCAGCCCATGCACTCAGAAAAGCTTTGGATGAATCGATTTTTCCATTTGATTTTGCTCCATAGTTTTTGACATTATATATTGCAGTTGCAGCAATGGAAGAGTTCAAGATCAAGAAGAAGACTATGAAAAAAAGTGGGAGGTTTTCTAGTAAACTCATTTTCCTCATTATCTTGTTTCTTTAGGTTTGGTTGGGGGGTGGGGTGGGGGTAGATGTTACAGGGGGTTTTGAGGGGAATTTATAGACTTTGCATTAGAGATCAGCGATTCAGATCATTCTAACTTTTGTACGACGTTCATGTGCAAAGTAATGTGTAATAGAAAAAAAAATAAAATAAAATAAAAGAAAATTAAGAGAGAAAACTAAGTTAGATATGGATTCTTAATTTAAGACGCTGACGTGAGTTAGGTTTTAGGCAAATAGCAGTTCTTTCAACACATTTGGTCATGTTGAGGAAGACTTTAAGTTCAAAATCAAGAAGAAGTCGTTAACCTATTGTTTTTTCTCAATGCTCAACGGAAAAGTCAACTACATTAGGAATCTTTAACAGATTGCATATACATTTTCAAATAAGTAGTAATATATATTTTTTAAATAATGTGAAGTTCAACTACATGGAATTCAACTATGGATGGGATATATTTTTAATTAACTGTGTTTCTTGAATTTTTCAAAGAACCTTCAAATCATACTCACATTTTCTATTGATATATATAAGTGGTTTATCCACTTCCTAGATTAGGTATTAGAAGCCGGTATCTCCTACTCTAATTAGTTACTTAAATTTTAAAAAAAATTCCACCTTTTTCGATAAGAACTATGTGATTTCATTTTTTTCTTTAAAAAGAGTTTCAAATCTTCTGTTGTCGTCCTCTTTCACTAAGTTGTTGAGCTTACTTCTGGACTGGTAACGTACGTGTCAATATCATTAACGGTTAACTACAGTATTTTAACGATCCGATCGGTCGTTTTGAACTTTAGCATTTTGTTCGACGATTTGAGATATTGAGTAGCTTCATATGATGCATTATGACTTGGGTGTACGATGTTTGGGAGGTTCAGCATTGATATAGAAGGGTGACTTTCGATTTGGAAGTTTAAAGTTGAAAGAGATCAGCATGGTTTGGATTTTGAATAGACGACCTCGGAATCGAGATTTGATGGTTTCAATAGGTTCATATAGTGACTTTAGACTGGGAGTATGTTCGGATTTGAATTTGGATGTTCCTAGAAGCTTTTGGCTCTATTTGTCGAAAGTTGGCAATTTAAAGAATTAGAGAGTTTATAGGTTTTATCGAAGTTGTCTTCGGTAATTTCGGACTCCTATTGTTGTTTTGAGACCTTGGTTAGGTTCATTTAGTTGGTTGAAACTTGCGTGTAAAGTTTGGTTGTGATCCGGAGTATTTAATTATGATTCGGATGAGTTCGACGAAGTTGGAGTGTTTGAAAGTAAAGAAAATAATTTTGATCTTCCATTCTTGCTTTTACTATTATTTGTAGTATTTTGAGCTAATTTATTTGGACTTGTTGGTATGATTGCAAGGGGTTACGTGAGACTCGAGTGTGATTCGAAGTGGTCTCAGATCATTTTGGTTGAGTTTGGAGTAGCTGGTGTGTTGCAGTACATCGTGATCATGGAACAAGGCTCACGATCGCAGAGTAGGATATTGGCCATTTGGTATTTGTGCATCGCATTCACGAGGATGCGATCGTGTTCGCAGAGTGTTATGGGAGATGGTTATCGCGTTCTCTTAAGTGGCTTCACATTCGCGAAGTGTTGGAGAAGGCCGGACAGTAGCCTTCCGCATTCAAGTTTGATCCCTCACGTTCGCGTAGTTGAGTGGCCAGTTAGCCTTCGCATTCACGCGTTATAGGTTGTGTTCACGCTGAAGGTTCATGAGGCAATTTGCAGCTTGTTTATAGTTGAATAAAAGATCGACATCTGCAGCTTGTTTATAGCTGAGAATTTCGGAACTTAGCTTCATTTTATCCTATTTTGAATCCTAGACTCGGTAGGAGACGATTTTGTGAAGAGTTTTTCATACCAAACTATTGGATAAGTGTTTCTAATCAATTTTCAACTTTATTTGATGATCATATATTATATTTAACATCAAATTCATGAGAATCAAAGAGGGAATTGGGGATTTTTGCCAATGTTTTAAAAAAAATAAAGATTTGAGTTTTGAGAGTCGATTTGGACAAGGATTTGAAAACAAAATACATATATAGACTCGTGGGGTTATGGGTAGTCGAGACCCACCCCTAGACCCGGGTTATGACCAGGCGAGCCCGGGCTTGACTTTTCGAAAATTGTATAAAAATTATAGTTTTATTAATTGAAATTATTTTCTTTTGTATTTTTTAATGTAATTAAGTAATTTTTGGCTAGATTTGAGCCGGGCGGAGGTAAATTTTAAGGGTAAAAGCTATTTTGAGTATTGATTTGGCCTAAATAAGGTAAGTATCTTGCCTAACTTTGTGTGGGGGAAACTATCCCTTAGGATTTGGGTTGATTGTACTTTATGAAGTATGTGGAAGACGTGTATACGAGGTGACGAGTGTGTACACGAGCTTATATGTGGTATTTGACCGGTGTAGCCTCTTAGATTTTTTCCATGCATTTAATTGTATTTGTCACAACATGTTATATCTTTCATGTTGAATTTGCTTGTACGTGGCTTACTTGAAGTTGTTAGTACATGTTCCATCTTTTATTGTCAAGTTCACTCTTATATGTTTTATTTGTTAATTGTAATTACTTGTTGAATTCGTGCCTTATCCGTTACATGCCTTAATTGCTAATTGATTCTTGATAATCGTGTCTTTATTTATAAATTGTCATCACTTGCTATTTGATTTTGGAAGTTATCATGTAACTTTATCATCCGTTTGTGACTTCTTGTATCTTCGTTGTTGCGTTTGGTTTTGTGATACACTGTACTTGGTTGTAGTTGCTTGTGTAATTCCTATTGTTTGGCGATCGGGTTGGATCCCGCGACGATATTGAGATGATATGGAAAGATATGAAATGGAGCGATAAGGATGGATGATATGATATATGTGGGATCCGGTTGCACGTCGCAATGAATATTGTTATTATTGTGTGGGATCGGGTTGCACGCCGCAACGAATATTGTTATTATTGTATGGGATCAGGTTGGACGTCGTACCGAATATTATTATTATTGTGTGGGATCGGGTTGCACGCCGCACCGGATATCTCACTCCGTGCCTTACTATTTAAACGGTTATCACATTTTTATTTTTTAATTGGATTCTTAAATTTTACTCGTAACCCTATTGATGTTTACTTTACTGAAAATTATATCACATTTCATTTCTAACAAATTGTATATTTAACTGAGGATTTATTTTGTTTAAATGTGATATTTTTACTTTATCTTATTAATTTCCAAACTAAATCCATCTGATACTGTTATTGCACAATTTGTTCTTTATTTTAGTTTATTTGAATCCTAAAATAAATATTTTATCTCATTTGATGCCTCATTTTATTCAAGATTATTACTATGCTTTATTGTGTTTAAATATATCTCTCGATCATCTGAATTGATATTGATACGGATGCAATGTACATGGTAGCCCGAGGACTTTGTCGTGCGAAGGTGATTGTTATTGTGGGCACGAGGTGCTATGCGTACAAGATTTGGAAATTTTGGTGTCATGATTCGTGATTTCGAGGAGTGGTACCTCGGGGTAAATCTTGTTGCAAGTCCATGCCTAGAAAACGATTTGATTAATTGAGTTATTATCTGTTTTCCTAATTGAGTTCGTGCACATCCCATCAGTGTTCTAATTATATCGTTGTTCTATTACCTGTCTACTTCTTCCTGGCATTCGAGTTTCCATTTATTTCCGTCTTTAGTTGTAAATTATAATCCTTCCATTATTAGTATTATGTTATATCTTGTACAAATTTCTATGTCCAGTCGGTATCTTGACCTGGCCTCGTCACTACTCTACTGAAGTTAGGTTTGATACTTACTGGGTATCGCGGTGGTGTACTCATGCTATGCTTCTGCACATTTTTGTGCACATCCAGGTGCTTTTGATCAAGTTGGTCTTGAGACTTATGTCTGCACAGCTGTCACAACCCCAGTTCACCCTCCATGAACATGTCGTGATGGCACCTAGTTCCTACAAGTAGGTAAGCCTAACAGTGTGGGAATAACAATTTAACTTGCGGAATAATCAATTAAAACCGAACATTTGAAAATAACAACTGTATATAAGGCCGCCCGACCTATACAACTCTAAAGATATGCGGAAGTCTACAACTGAATCCCAAAACCCGGAACCTCACGGGAACCACAGGCTAACAGAAACATAGTACGCTGCTCTAACTCCAAAATGTCTAAGCAACTGAGAGAAAAGAAATAAACTAAATACTAAAGCTGGAACAGAATAGAGACTCCTGGTTTGCGGACGCAGCAGATATACCTCGAAGTCTCTGTGTATCTCCTCGCCTCAAGGATAGTGCACCTGAGTAGGGATACCTGGGTAATCTGCACATGAAAAACATGCGCAGGAAGGGCATGAGTACACCACAGCGGTACTCAGTAAGTGCCAAGCCTAACCTCGGTTGGGTAGTGACGAGGAAGGTCAGGGCCCTACTGAGATAAACATAACATATGATAGAATAAGGAAAACAGTATAGATAAAGTCTACAACAAGGATCTAAACGGGATAAATAAGGGAAACAGTGATAGGAAGCAGAAACAAAACAATATAAGGAATGCTACTCACAACAGGAAGTAATAGTCGGGGATCTCTTGGTATCCCGAGGATCTCTTGGTATCCTCATCATATACACTAGGGATCTCTTGGTATCCCAAGGGTCTCTTGGTATCCTCACCACATACACTAGGGATCTCTTGGTATCCCGAGGATCTCTTGGTATCCTTATTTTATACACTAGGGATCTCTTGGTATCCTGAGGATCTCTTGGTATCCTCATCACATACACTAGGGATCTCTTGGTATCCTCATCACATACGCTAGGGATCTCTTGGTATCCCAAGGATCTCTTGGTATCCTCATTTTATACACTAAGGATCTCTTGGTATCCCGAGGATCTCTTGGTATCCTCATTTTATACACTAGGGATCTCTTGGTATCCCGAGGATCTCTTGGTATCCTCAATAAGTAAGTCGGGGATCTCTTGGTATCCCAATATATAT